CCGTAGGCGCAAACGTGCCACCTCTTCGCGTATCATATGCTCCTGATACCAAAATACAAAGTTCAATTTGATACGTACGAAAGATGTGCCCCTTCTATGCGGCAACCTATGTTAGCAGTCCTGTCGATTCGGTTGCCATCACGTAGTCCCAAGAGTGCCCCTGTTATGCGGCACCCCATGTTTGTATGCTTGTCGGACCGATTGTCTGCTCGTAGGCGCAGAGTTCCCAGAGTGAGTGCAAGAGAGAACGCAAAGGTGTGCGACAAGGATAGACTTATGCGCGCGAGTGCGAGAGAATACCCAATAGTGTCCGACAAGGACAGTCCTATAAGCTCGAGACCGAGAGAGAACGCACCAATGTGCGATAAGGACAGTCCTATACGCTCGAGACCGAGAGAGAACGCACCATTGTGTGACAAGGATAGCGACTACAACACCCATTTTGTCGGCATGCTGAGCGTTAACATATGTTATATTAACTTAAACTACTTAATAACAATCCAAATCGTACCAAAAATAATCCTTGAATGTAGATATTGATATGTATTTGACACCGCAATTGCAAAAGTTCGTAAATTATCTTTGGAAAGTTAAGAAATTAATGATAATATTCAGCTAGTGTCGCTATCCTTGTCGCACACCGTTGCGTTCTCTCTCTCTCTCTCACTCTCTCTCTCTCTCACTCTCACTCTCTCTCTCTCGCACTGTGCGCATATGTCTATCCTTGTCGCACACTATTCCGTACTTTCTTGCACTCACGCAGTTCAGCTTTGGGGTGTTGACCGCTAGATGGCGATACCGGTTTTCGTGCCGTTTTCGTGTTTACTAACAGCGGTATGCTTTCAAAAAAAATTTTTAAAACGAAAACATTCATGTCCTGACGATGTAGTACATACACGTACTTTGTGCGTATTTATGTATAAACAATTTGTGTGTATTTATGTATAAACAGTTTTTTAGAATAAAGAAGCAATGTTATTTAAATATTTCTTTGTTTTTCCCATACATTACATAAACGATATTTCATGAAACATCCTACATTACACTGTAGGAGGATTTACATTTTTAGTAATAAGATTTGTACATATTGTTCTTTCACTGATACATAAAAAAAGAGTGCATTACAAAGAACAGATAATCAATCATCTAAATCTAATTGGTTTGTTGTATACTGCAGGATGAAAGAATCTTTCCTCCATGCATGGAGCTACCCGGACCTATCCCGTGTCTGTAACTTATTGTTATTTACTTTCCAATGTGTATCGTTGTTAAGCAAGTGTAACATTTTTAATTATTTTTACTTTGCCTAAGTGGGCCGCGAGGTACCTAGAAAATTCAAAATTGAATAGCAAGCTTGCCAAAAGAAAATTGATTACGTATACACGATGGACAGTACGCGATCGCCGATGGATAACCTCTTTAACATGCTGTCAGGCTTCAGTGCAGGTCACGAAAAAGCTTTAAAGCAAGGCATTTACAATGCCGTGGCATTACTGCTCTTGTGTCTGGTTTCGGCGGCTGGCTACGGGCTGTATATTATATTGAGTCCCTTTGTAAAACCCTTGATATGGGCTTTATTATGCGGTTCTGTTCTATTCCCTTTCAAATATTCATTAACTACTGTTGTACAGTCGTGGTTCGAGAAAACAGAGGCATCTCGTACACCGCTAATTATAAATTTAACACTGTTACCTATACAAATAGTGGATAAAGTCTCTGACAATTTGGGATCGTTCCTTTGGAGACATATTAAGTATGTTGCGGGTACACTCATACTAGGAATGTCGGTCCTTGGTTTATATCATTATACACCATCTATATTAAGTTGCCTCATATGGAGAATATTTATAATTTTCAATACTATTTTTGGATTTTTTATAACAACATGTAATATATATACGGTAATTGTTATTCATTTGATGAAAATTAATTCTAATTATGTATCATTCTTATGTGTATATCTGTTGTCTTTGCAGATTGCTGTTCTACTTATTGGATACTTATCTGTCTTGTACATTTATTGGACACCACAGAATTCCATTCATTTCCGTTATACATCATTTGTTGTTTGGTTTATAATTAGTCTATACCTTTCTAATATGCTAGGAGCTTATCAAGTTCTTGTATTTATAACATTGCAAGCATTGTGCCTGATAGGATTTGTTTATGAGGTAATAATGATAATGGAGAACCAAGAATTAGAAGGTAGATACATGACATTTATGGAAGCAACATGCTTTGCATTAACAAATAATATAATCACAGATGTTCAAAAAGATACATTAGCTCCATTAAAGAGTGAAACATCTGTAGGAAGTATTGATAACAAAGATACAGATTCTTTTATAAATGATTCAGATAAAGAAACTACAAAAGCTGTTCCTGAATGTAATATAAAAGAATATAAAAAATCAATCTCGCTTGATGCTGATTCACAGCAACTACGCTTTAAATTACGATCTCCAAATACTTTATCTTCTGGTAGTCATACGACATTACGCGATCGTTATGTTTTAAGAAGATTAAAAACCGAATTAAAATTATCTGTAGACACGGAATATGACAAAGTTGATAATGATATATATATGTATGGAGCATGTTATGCTTGCATTGGGATGATTTTGTGGAAACACAAATGGATAATATATATATTGATGGTTCCTACAGCTCTATACATTATCAAACAACTTGGTAATTATTTTGGATTGTGGAAAATGATAGGAAATCAATGTAACATTGTTATGCAAGTTATAAAGACGTGGTGTGCAGAGAGACATCAAGCTCTTCTACCAGCTAATGTTAGAGGTTTATTCAAAATTGGAATCATAATCGATGAAAAATTAACAAAAGTGCTGAAAGCTTCTGTTGATGCTGTGGCAACAATTGCTGTGATCTTTGGCCTGCTTATATTTACTACTTGTGCATCTATTTTTATAACGATACAAGTAAATAAACCAAAATTTGTCACTCTCCTTCGAGTAGGATTAAAAACTTTTTTTTTAATGTATTTACGATTTGTGATAGGTTTATACAGAAGGTATGCATCTTATCCAAATCACTGGGGAGATATTAAATTCCTCATTAATGAGTAACCCAGATATTGATTGGCTACCAGAGCAATGGGAAGATTCCGTTAATAGTGTACTAGATAATGCTTACACGTATGGGCGAAGTGCTATTTCTGATGGGGTAAAATACAAATAATTTTAGATCGAAAGTATATAGTTTTGTAATTGTGAAATAGTTGAATAATATATATGTGATGTAGGTCAAAGGTTTGGTAAAAGATTTAGATCCTGTGAAGGCTGAACACATGGAGAAAAAAGTTTTAGAACTTTGGGACATGCTCTACCAAGCTTGGATGATGTCTAACGAAAATTCAGATCAAGCTGGAACTGCTGTGGATGTTGCAACAGCCTATTCTGTATGGGAAAGTTTCACAGAAAGCTTTGGGAAGACTCCTTTGCGTAAGATATCGGGCAAATTAATGAATTTAAATTACATCTTTAACAAAACTTATTTAATATGTCTTTTTTTTTTTTCTTAAACAGAATTGTTCAATATGACTAGTATACAGAATTTCATAAAAGAAAATATTGGAACTTTTATGTCGGTACTTGATTCTATTTGGAGTATAGTTAAGGGCAACATGTCTGTGATACTGACCATTTTTACGGAATTATTTTACATTGTACTCATGAGTGGATCTGCAGTACTTAATTTCACTCTTAGCATGGTAAACAAACGTAAAAGGCTCATTTATTTAAAAAATGTTTGAAGTACTTTTCATAATAAAAATGTTATTGTAGGTGGTGTTTTTTACGACGCTGTTTTATCTTCTCAGTTCTAGCAATAAGAGTTACAAACCTGTTGAGTTGACTACTGTTTTTAGTCCTATTAGTTGCCATAGGTAAATTTTTTAAACTTTTTAAGAATATGTTTAATAAGATTATATTAGAAGATATCGTATAAAATTTATTCTTTTCTTGACAAGCACTCTTCATGTTGAGGGGTATGTTAAATTATAAGGATCAAATAATATTGCATAATGTGTATGACAAAAAAGTTTACTACATTTTTTTATAGATTTGCCGTGGCCTTACAGGAAGCGGTGATCGGAGTATTTGTGGCGACATTTAAACTTGCTTCCTTTTTTGGCATGTGGACATGGTTTATACATAATTTGTTTCAAGTAAAGATCGTTTATTTGCCGTCAACTTTCGCGACAATACTTGGGGCTGTGCCATTCTTGGATGCATATTTCGCTTGCATCCCAGCTACTCTAGAACTTTGGTTTACGCGTGGATCAATGGTCGCTATTCTATTTTTTATGTTTCATTTTCTTGCTTGCAACATTGTTGTAACGGAATTCTACAAAGAAATTAAAGGGTATAATACTTATTTAATTTAAATCAACGACAATTTCTGATTATTAATTTTATTATTAAGATTATGAAATGTTTCTCGTTTTAGAGGTGGGCATCCATATCTCACAGGCCTTTCAATAGCGGGTGGAATATTCTGCTTAGGAGTAGAAGGTGCTATTTTTGGGCCTTTATTACTATGCTGCATTATGGTAGCAATTAATTTAAGTCGACGTTACCTTCATTCGCCTTCAGAAGAAGTTGTACCCACGTACTCCGGAATTAAACGTTAAACTAGATGAAATTGATATATAGAACAAAAGTAGAATCTTTGCAGCGGAGATCTTAGAAGTAATAGTTGTGATAACATTTTAAAATTGATCAAAAGTTTAAAATTTATATGGAATATTTGAACAGTAATAAGCTTCTTATACGCTTCTCTTTGAAAGAGTAACATAATCTCGAAGGATTATCGTCCTTATCTAGTCTTCGAAAAATTAACTTCGAATTATATCGCTTCTAGTTTCAAGATTATATAACGCTTTTATAATTCATTTTTTTAACAAAGATTTACACAAAGATGTCTTACTAACTATGTGATTTTAAAAGCTATGATATGTAATAAGGAATCTCAATCTACGCTTATTAATATTATAAGAAAATTACTATACTGACGCCATACACAAATCTTCTATGATATATGAAACGGTAGTTATAGAAAAATGGAATAGAAAAAAGTAAATATATTTTTTTGTTATACGTTAAGTCTAGTTTTGTTATTCATTCTAGTTTTTACTAATTCATTCGGATATACATATATGCGTACGTAGATGTACTATTTTGTTTTATATTTTATGTGACATTACTAACTTCAGTATTATTAATATTGTACCTTATTTCTAAGAAAATTTTTAATGTAACTAAGGAACGATTAATAAATTTAATGAAAATTTATTTTCAATCAAGCAACATGACAAATTTAATGTTATCGATAATTGCCACAATCATGATTATACTGATCATTCTTATCGGATTTGAACTTTATTTACATCACGAAAAATATTTTCCACGAAGGAATCCATAAAATTTAATTATAAATATCCGAGAGTGTAGTAATGTTTAGTTTCGATCTGAACATTTTGGGTGTTATCGCTTCGCATGCATGAAAGACTACGCGTTTTTTTCTGTCAAACATATGGAAACCATTTTCTGAAAATCGACCACAAATATTTTCACATTCCAACCATACAAAAAGCGCTATATTGTCTGTCGTTAATACGAATTCAATATCTGGATAATTGGAGTACATTCCGGGTAAGTGTTTATCGTTTATTTTTACCTGAAAAGAAATATTTGATATGGAATATAAACGATATAAAGATCTTTGTTTATTTTTACAAAGTTCAATGTATACTCACAGAGATAGTTGCTACTGGCAAGACAATAGTTTTTAATAGAGTGGTTGGATATATATAATTTGTTGGTGCTATCTGAGATCCAGCTTTGTCTTTCAAAATAAGCATTGTAATACAATTGGTTTTTGTAGTTGTGCTAGACTTGCATTCATTGAGTGATTGGGAATTCAGGATCCATAAATCAAGCATATTATCATGAATTTTAGTTACCGCATTTGCTTCCTGAAGAAAGCGATAAACAGATTACATACAAATATTTTTCCTTTTTGATGTGTATACAATGATTGTTATATACTTACCACAGTTATATTGCAGTGAACATGAGATTGTACGGGTATCATACTATTCCACGTATAAAGATTTACTTCCAAACAAGTATTTAATACTGGATACAATTTATCAGAAACAACATAAATTGCAAGGTTGGTCCCTCTAACATAATACGTAACTATAATGGGCGCGAAAAAATCTTTAGCATAGTAATGAAGCATTTTCCATCGTCCATCAAAGTCTGAAAAAAAATAACATGATTTTTAATATCGAAATATATTTCAAAATAGTAATAATTATTTTGTATTTCCGTTTACCTATAGAAGACCACGAAGGAGCTTGCCAAACATCGTTCAATTGCCAATATAAAGCACCCATTGTCATTCCTTCTCCTATTTCATTCAACGAGGATTTCGATTGTCGATAAAATTCTGTTTGCAATTTCACCGAAACGGCTTGATTGATTTGGCTCAAATATATAAAATTAATAAAATCTCTCGTACTGTTCTGAGTTTCAGGTAGTCTCAAGTTCTTTGAAATAAGAAACTTTAGATACGTATTCCCTAATGTCAAATGTTGACGATGTTTTATGAAATCGCTATCTATATTCAAATCAACCTCTGTTTCTGTGATTGGCAATATAGTGTAAATTGATGGTAATGATTGAAAGCCATATTCGGACGAAAATCTTGCGCGAGGATATTGGTGCATGTCCCATCCATTACTGAGATAGTTGTAGTAATGAACTAAAATAATATTCTATTACATCGTAGATATTATTTTAATATTTGGTGGTTCAAAGAAATGTATTTTACCATCTCCATACAACTTCGAATATGGATCTTCCCCAGTATAGTTATACTCCTCTGTATATAATCCATTGCTAGGGCTAGATACTACAAACGGGCGAGTAGAGTCCAATTGCTCTACTAATTTTTTTATCAAATCTACATAAAGTTTAACATAATCATTTTTGTATATTTGTCCAGTGCCTGTCCCATACCAATTCCCATATAAAGCTGCTTCGTTCTCGTTGTTCCCAGCCCAAAGGACGATACTAGCATGATGTTTTAGTCTCTGTACGTTTTGTATGACTTCCTCTTTAACCGAATCGAGAAACGTATCTGTAGTAGGATACATTCCGCATGCGAACATAAAATCTTGCCAAATCATAATTCCGTACTCATCAGCCATGTTATAAAATAACTCAGATTCGTACAATCCACCACCCCAAACCCTAATCATATTCATGTTTGCTTCTTTAACTGACATTAATAAACGTTTAACTGTATCTACCTCAGCGCTCAGTTCAGGAAAAATGCTACTTGGGATAAAGTTGCTACCCTTTGCAAATATAGGAATTCCATTTATTTGAAAATAGAAGCTCAGTCCCTTTTCAAGAGGATTTTGGACGAGCTCTACTGTTCTAAAACCAACGCGTATTTTTGTTTGTTTGACAGTATTAGGTGTAGCTACAGTTACAGTCAGGGAATAAAGAGTTTGATTCCCATAACCATTTGGCCACCATTTATGTACAAGTTCCTATAGCACAAGACTGAATAATTTTTTCTCTGTTAAGCATATATATATTATATATTTAATTATGTAAAGGATATTTTGACTTACCACGGGTACTTTTAGGCTGACAGATTTTACATATTTACTGTTTCCCATTAAAACAAAACTGCTAACATTGCTAACAGTTATTTCTTCGTTAACAAAGAGAATAGAGGAAAGGTGGCATGGTATAGAGTCGTCATATTTTTGTACTGTAGTATTAAGAAACACTGTTAGTGTGACATTCCAAAAATTTTTTTCTTTAAAAATGTCTGTCGAAATATCCGTGATAAAGAGATCGTTTACTGGAACTAATTCTACACTTTTCCTAAAATATATTGCCATTAGTATATATTAAATGGTAAAATGAATTTGTTGAAAAAATATCGAAATACCAAATGCCCATAGAAGGAAAAGCTGGACCCCAATCCCATGAGAAACTTGCTTGCATTTTTCTTATGTGATTAACATGACATTCTCCATTGTAAGTGCCTGGAACACATACTGGAGGAACAATATATTTCAATGCCTGTTTATTGTATAAATTAGCAGCTTCTTTAACAGCAGAAGTAAAGGCAACTGTTAATAAATTTTCCCCCGTCTGAAAAATTGATACATGATTATTTTTCTGATGTTTAGGACAAGATTGGTTGCTTACCTTCAACTGCTTTGTAATATCAAACGTGTATCGTAAAAACATATTTGATGTTTTCGCGATTTCTTGAGCATTTAAATATATTGTGGCAAATGTATCTAAGCCATGAAAAATCAGCATCACTTTAGGAGCACTTAGCAAAGTATTATTTACTGTAAAACAATTCACTTTAAGATTCCTCTTGAAACATAAAAGTTGCATTAAATAGTATGATAAAAATGTGCTTAATTACCATAAAATTTATTATTATAGGTAACCGATTGATTACCAATCCACCGGTGGTTCACATCATTACTTCCAATAAAATTATCTGGTATGATATTTGCTCTGGTCAAATCTGTATAAATTCCTCCTGGTACCGTTGCAGGAAATGTAATTTCTGCATATATATATATATCATTGTTAAAAATCATTAAATTCTACATTAATAATTATGGGAAGATGTTGTCTATGTAAGATCTTACCATGTTCAGGCTTATCAGTTGTAATTTTACCTAAAACAGAAAGTCACGATAAATGTACATTAATAACACTGTTATTGAACAATGGAAAATTTATAAAAGTTTAGCTTAGATTGTTTTGAAATACCTGTCCATTGTCCATCTAAGGTTATGCATGAAACAAAATTAATTAAATGCACAACTAATAAAAACTGAAAAACTGTCATAGTGCTGGTCCCAAGATTATACAATTGATGTTTTAATAACGCATAATTTTATGCTTATGCAACAGTAATGTTTGCAACGTTTTTATATCAGTGAATCAGAGTTAATATAACATGATACAAAATCCGTGCTATATTAAATATCTTTTTTATCTTGTTATCAGATTTATTTTAAGTTTAGTATCTCTCGTGGCAGTCTGAAACGAATAACAATATAATCTAAATAACAGCGAATTGTTATAGTTCGTAATTATAAACATTTTACGTAATGTAGGAAAATAAAAGAAGGGACATAAATATAGTACTTTATTCATAAACATGAACGTCTATTTGTATAAAAATACATTTTATTATACAGTAAAAATTTTAAATTTGTAAACGAAATTAAATGCTTGATACAGATATACGTTTTTTTTCTACAAACGTATGTTATGGTTTGTAAAATCAGTCGAATTTCTATTCGATTTTTTAATAAATTTTATATCGATAACATATAGTTTAATTAAAATTAGCTAAATTAGTTCAAGTTTATTGTAAAATAATACATATTTTTGTAACAGAACTATACATATAACATATAACACGAACGCTTACGATACGCGGAATGTCACAATAAATGTAAAAGAATATTAAGTGAGCAACTATAATTGACATTTTTAACGTATTCAATTAGTATGAAAAATTAAAAATTCACGTTTATTGTACATCTTTATCCTTTCAATGCAGCTGAATAGTACCGTGTAACCAATATTTCCGTTATCGACATATGTATACATATATGTATACATATGTATACAGCTGCCAAAATAGAAACATTACTAATGTTTCCTCTCTTTACTGGATTGTGTTCTACTATTTGACGGAAACTGTCTCCTGTAATCAATATTCGAATCAATTTGTTCACTAATTGGTCGATAACAACGGACAGGTGAATTCAGAATACTTTAGATCTCAGTACTCGTGTATTCTGAAAAAGATGTTACTGTTAATACGTCAGTAAAGATTGTAATACTTTCGATTAAAATTTCAATTTTTCTTTTTTTTTCCGCGATATAAAAGTTCTTACCAGGTGACGATTCACCATGTTGCATTTGTTGACAATTGTTAACATGTTCCTCGTAATGTGCGCGATTGGTTGTACTATAGATTAAGGAACCACCACGTTCGAGAACTTCATAGTTAATATTTTTTGACATTACTTTACTTTCGAATAGATTAGCATTATTTTCGTCCTCGCTATCGGTTATGTATTGTTCGCATTCAGCGGCATGTATTTCTATTTTATCGCTCGGAAAAGACTGATTACAGATAGGACAATTTATATTCTTCGTTGAATTACCTTTTGAAGTACAGTTATCCTATAAGGAAGGAACGATGTTGAAAATACATAGAATCTTTCCAGAGCAATTGTTAAAATACATGCATATAAGACAAATCCAGAAAAATTTATTACCTGAAACAGGTTGTTCTCCTCCATGATCTCAAACACCTTGTTCTCGTTCTGTTCGCGTAAACCACGTGAGTTGTCTTTACATTCTTTTTCCCGTAACCTCATACGCATCAGACTACTCCATTTCTTACTTTTCACCTTTCTGGATTTTTCTATTTCTTCCAGTTGCTTTTCCCTCTGGTGGCTCTCTTCTATTTGCTTCCTATAAAACTCTTCTCTCTTCTTTTTCTCCTCGATCTCTTTCTTTTGAAGCTCTTCCTTTTCAATTTCAATTTTCTTTTGTTTTTCAATTTGAAGTTTCTCCAAAACCATGCATTCGTGTCGAAGCCTACGCGAAAAGCCTTTCATCGGTAGCGGTTTAATTTCGATATTTTTAGGCGTTACTTTGATACCAGCATCAGCTGTATCTTTCTCCAATTCTGCAAGAAGTTCTTCGTCCGTGAGAATATCGCATTTTTCATTAGGCATCATATCCATAGGACATTGTTCCACGTTGGTGTCGTGTTCTGCTATATGTTTGACTGGTGTATTAACGCTATGTTGTTTCTTATTATTAATACATTTTTTAGTATTTAAAGGTGTAATCGTTTGTGTGTATAAAGAAAGTAATTCAGGGGACAAGCATTCCTCTCTTTGTTCTACTTGTGAATTTACGATTTCCATATTATCAAAATCTTTGCTAATATTGTCAGTATCATCCGAATGTTCATGTTTATCGTTCGTAACAGCGCATGTTCCTTTGTGTGGACGTAATACTCTGCTAGTCTCTTGAGAAGGTTGGGTTTTTTTTTTTTTAAATATTTTTTCATCTTCGTCGCTGCTGGAATGCGCTGTATTAGAAGACGAAAGGGCCACGGTAGATTTACGTTTATTAGGTCGTTCAGTGTTACATTTGTTTGTACATTCCATTTGATTCTCTTCAGTCTTAATGTTCGTTAATGCTTTTTTGTCCGAACTACCTTTAGCAACTCCCACCTATAGAAACGTTGAAAGAAGGATTAGAATTATATCAGATAGAATGAAATGGACAACTACTCTCCCCTTTTTTTTACAGAAATACGATTTATTAAAAAATTGTTCGTGGCTTACAGTTTTAATTACTGTTCCTATATAAACACTTATGTATACATGTTCGTATAAATGCAATCTTTACACTTTTGTAGGAGACACAGATAACGAGGCTCAATTATTTTTATATATGTATAAATCATTGATCTTATTTTTCTCGAAATGTTTTATTTTCGACTAAATTCATACTTATAGAAAAAACTTTGCCAAATTAAACGATTTATAAAGCATCCATTAAATTTGATCGCAAATTTCGTATTTGTTAATTGTAAAAAACAATGTTATATATTATTTATGCAAAAGAAATGTTATATCGATAAATGGGTACATATTTTTAATTGACGAAAAAAAATAACGAACATTTTTTTATATCGAAGATGAATATAGTTCGAATGCAATTTTGTTACATAAAAGAAAAACACGATTACTGCATGTGAATACAATTTAATATTAATTTTCCATGGCACAATGTCGCATTGTGCACATTTTATATACGAATGTGAAGAGCAGATTATTTTTTTTTTAATCCATTAGCGACACGATTTGTAAGAAGCGGATTGTACAGAGGTACCCACCTGAATGGGTGACCCCCACTGAAACTTAGAGTCGGCAGTCCGATGCGAACTATGCCACAATTCTGCTGTTTGTTTCAAGTGAATGTTTATTGCAGACATAAGTTTCTCGACGTTCTTAGACGTTTGCGCCTCTCTGCATAATCTAAACGGCATGCGATCTTGCACTAAAGGTCTTTCTGGTTCTTGCAAAGGCACATCGTTTTCCATGGCATACGCATCGAGCGGGTTAATTTGCCACCGTTCCAACTTCTGTTCGCGTTCCGAGTGTACTTCCACTTTCGTTTCCGCGTTATGCGTACTATGAAGATCTTGGGAAGTGTTTTTTAATTTCAGTGAAATGTATCTGTTCAAATAACTGTCTCTTGTATTTGGATTATCATGCAGTTTATCTAGCATGTCTTCATTATCCAAATTTTTCATCCTGTATGTAGAGTTTTTTGCTTCAGCTCTTGTAGCTGCAGATTCTGGACTGCTACAGCTGTGAGTGGATATTCCATCGAATATAGGTGATGCATGATTAGATTTGTACAAGTGTATTGATCCAGATGATGTATCATTATGTTCCTGTATCTCCAATTCTTGTGCTGCATTTTTCTTAGACATTGTTTCTGAGTTGCAATCATTTGAAGATTGTAATGAGTTCTGAAAATAATAGAACCGTGTAAGTTCAGGTAAAATCAGAAAAATGCTTACAGAATGATTGACTTGCCTTTTAAGGCTGTCTAGTCAATAATTAACAATAAATTTACCTTCTGCGAATATTTTTCATTGTTGGTCACATTTGCCATATCCTTTGACTCATTAATAAAGCCTAAGATCTGTTTCATGTATTCGTACGTATACCATGACTCGTACATTTTCATATCTAAAAGATAAACAGTTTTTTAAGGAATTGATCAAGAAGATGAAGATAGTCTTGTAAAACAAGAAGTATGTCCAATGTATTCAATAATTACCTTGAAGCTCCCGCTTCATTTCTTCTGTTTCTTCTGCCTTAGCTGCTAATAATTCATGTTTATCTCGTTCCATACTGTCTGACATGTCCTTTTCGAAATTGTACACGTTCAAAATAGTAAATGTCAATAAAATGTCTTGTATTCGACAAATTGCAGTTTAACCTTAAAGTTTGTATATGTTCGCCGTATCAAAGTTTTCCACCTCGCTGTTTAATTGCTATATTAATGGCATGTATGTATCCCTGTAGTTGTAATTAAAAAGTGAAAATTCTCTGGAAGGCGTGTGTCATGATAAACACTTGATTTAAAACAACTTTTAGCTATCAATTGAACTATACTAGTACTCTGGTTTCTCTGTAAAATAGTTCGAACAGTTCACCGCTGGATGGCTGTACTCTATACAGGCTATACTATTCTTGCTCCGTAAAATTGCAATAAAAATATAACCTATACAGTTTTGCAATATTAGAAACAGTCAGAAACAAGTAGAATTACATAATCAATTTGTTGCTTTTGTAGATACGACTCAAAATACAGTGAAAAAACAATGAGAATAAAACTTGTTTGAGTAAATACAATGAATTTGTTATAAGCACGAAGAAACAAATATGGCTGCCTCTATGGTTAGATCACATGCACAATTTAAGTAAGTTCTTATATTATTTCCAGTATTAATCTTATATTTTAATGACATTTTATATCTAATTTTTATGTTTAAATAAAGTAAAGTACTTATTCATTTAATAGCATAAATTATTAAATATAATAAACTATTTTTATGTAATCTCCTTGATTTAGTTTCAAAGAGACTTTGTGTTACACCTCTTTATTCGGTGTAATTTATTTACAGTGTCCTGAGACAATTACTGATAGACAACGTATGGCGTGAACAGAGCACAAATCATATTCTGCAAGCTTGTGCATTAAATATTCAATGTCATTTCTATCATTCCACACCTGTGCGTTTAAAAAAAAAATTGTCACAAAAGCAAGAGAAGGTATATTTTGGTATAGTTAAATATGTATGTAATAACTAAGTATGTTGGTGCATGAAAAAAATGAAAATTATTTTTAGAAAATTATACAAACATTAAATGAGGGTGTTGACAATTATGTGGTTGATATATCAAAGAAGAAGAAGAAAGTACCTTTTGTGGAAGTTTGGAAAGATATGACTGTAAGAGAATTAGCAGTCTCTGCTAATAGAGACGTAAAGGATATTATGTATGCCCTGTATTTGTTTGACAAAGAACAGAAATACTATAAAGATAGTGTTTTAGATTTGAAACTAGTCCATAATGTTGTTAAAAAATTAGGCGCACTCTCTAAAGTTGTACCAAATGTAGATGAAACAGAGTCAAAAGAGGAGAGGTATAAGGATATCATTGAGAGGTAATGCAAAACTACCACTTTAAAATTATTAACTGTAATTTTTGTAATTGAATTACCAAATTTTGCCTAGACCTCCGCCTGATAAATCCGTGTTAGTAAAACGACATCCCGTTGTAACGATCATGGGACACGTCGATCACGGGAAAACTACTTTATTGGACGCGCTACGTGATTCTTCAATTGTAGAATCAGAATTTGGTGGAATTACGCAACATATTGGTGCCTTTAACGGTTCGTGCTAAACCATTTTAAAATTTGATGAGAAATGCACGCAGTACTTAATTGTTCTTAAAATCATCGTTTTAGTAACGCTACCGTCTGGAGAAAGAGTGACATTTTTAGATACTCCTGGACACGCTGCTTTTATATCTATGCGACACAGAGGAGCACATGTTACTGACATTGTAGTATTAGTGGTAGCAGCCGACGACGGCGTTAAGGAACAAACTTTGCAAAGCATAGAAATGGCAAAAGATGCAAATGTTCCAATTATCGTGGCTATCAATAAAATTGATAAGCCTAATGCCGATATTGTAATTTTTCTTTAATATGGAAATATTAATTATATAAATTTTAAAAATGTTACAATCCATTATGTTATTTTAGAAAAGGACGCAAAACATGCTCGCGCAACATGGTATCCTTGTCGAAGATCTTGGCGGCGATGTACAGTGTATTAACATATCTGCTTTAAAGAGAACTAATTTGCAAGATTTGACAGAAGCTATAGCTGTACAAGCTGATATAATGGGATTACAAGGAGATCCTGTGGGACTAATGGAGGGTGTTGTCATCGAATGTAGTAATCACAGCGGTCGTGGAAAATTAGTGACAGCTTTAATTCAACGTGGCACTTTAAGAAAAGGCTGCTTGTTAAGTAATAAATAGTTACAGGTAGTTTTAAATCAAATCACTGTTTAGTCACAGTACATTTTCTTAATTACGTGCAATCTGGTTTCTGGCAGTATCTGGTCTCGCACCGGGAAAAGTCAGAGCTATGTTCAACGACGCAGGCCGTCCGGTTTTAGAAGCTAAACCATCGGAAGCGGTTCAGATCATCGGATGGAAAGAATTACCTAATGTTGGAGACGAGATACTGGAAGTGGAAAATGAAAAGGCATTGCACATAGTTCTAAAATTTAGAGAAAGTCAACGCAACGATGCTCTAGCTAAGGAACATGCGGAGGCTGCTGACAAGAAATACGCAGATATGCTTTTGGTAACAAATTAAAGATATATATGTAGTATATATTCTTGCATTCTGATAAAATCACTTTTCTAATTGTAGCACTATAAGAAAAGATTAGCGCTAAGGAGAGAATTTGGGAAAATGCATCCAAAATATAGTGCATACGTAAATCGAAATGTTCCTGTGAAAAAAGATACTAACACGGACACGACTCCTACAGTCAATGTCATCATAAAAGGTGACGTGTCGGGAACTATTGAAGCTATATTAGATCTTTTCGATACATACACGGCGAACAACATCTGTCGTTTAGATGTTGTTCATTATAACATTGGCAACGTCACCGAGACTGATTTACAATTAGCAAAAACGTTTGATGGTAATGTAGCATTTCAACAAAGTGTGCGACTTGTTATTACAGATTAATTTTAACTACTTATACATTTTCAGCAATTATTTATCGTTTTAATGTGCAAATATCCCATGAATTAGAAAACAAAGCAGAAAAAGAAAACATATCTATTCGAGAATATAACGTTATATATAAACTTTTCGATGATCTTAAAGAGGAAATTAATAGTAAATTACCTGAAGTCGATGTTGAAGAAGTATTAGGTACTATTTAACATGAAACAAAAAAGATTTCTACATGCGCGTTAATACGATTGTTATTATACTAATTTTTGTTTCTCTGAATATAGGGGAAGCAAACGTACAGCAAGTATTTCAGATTACAGAAGGAAAGAAGAAAGTAATCGTTGCGGGATGTCGTTGTACGAAAGGCGTTCTCAAAAAGTCTGCACAGTATCACGTAGTGAGGAATGGGGAGAATATTTACACGGGTAAATAAATTGTAATAGTTAACAGATTAGACTTTTCGTCGATTAGTATATTAGATTTGTACAAAGAACAGTTCATTTTCTCGATTACGATTAAGTAAGATTGTAGCAATTCGTCAATTATTACTTTTATCTTTAGTTTTCGTATAGTCTCCTTTCCAGTGGACATCAAAATAATACTTGTGTAGTACGTACTTCATATATTCTCAGTCAAAAATCGATAATATCTAAATACATTTTTATCAATAGGAAAATTAGTGTCAATGAGACATCTGAAAGACGAGGTGTCATCTATCAAAGTTAACGTCGAATGCGGTCTCAGATTCAATGATCCAACTATAGCATTCCAACCTGGAGATATTATCGTCTGCTTCGACATCAAACAAATGCCTCAAACGATCAAGTGGGATCCTGGATTTTGAGTCGATGTTTTTATTTAAAAAAATTTATAAGAGATAGTATTAAGTCTAATACAAAATAAAAGAAACACGCTACTAAACATCCTCATTTTCCCTTTCGTTATTAGGAAATTAAATCATCCGTACAAAATGCCTTTTTACAAAGTGTAAGTACAAATTTCTATATTATTGCCTCCGCGACGCAACAACCACCTCTTACATTCACCAATGGGATTTCTTACCGTCTTACATTTACCAATGGCGTTTTTCCTGTTCTTTGTTTGCACGTCAATTTCCATATAAGACGAGTAATCTATTCGAATTGGATAAATTCATCTCGTTGCGGTGTCCAATATTTATCGCCTTTATCAGTGAACGCGTTTATCGATCACCGGTGACGTTACTAGGACCGATTCCTTTCGAGAGGAAAGACGCAGTTGTCTCGACGAACGTTAAGAGGCGTAAGTTTCTCGAAGACGACGTTGCAGGTGTTGGTACGCGGTCAGAACGCCGCGTTTCTTTTTAAGCAGACGACACGGCGCTGGTTCTTGATTGGTTGTCCCGATCTTTGTGTCCAAAGGCTCGATGAGAGTATTATTGTCTGGGTGGACGAAGAAGGCGATGGAATGACGACCTCGACCACAGAGTTCCGGGACAACGACGCGATGTCTCAAAGCTGGAAGTTGGTTGTTGGTCCAATTTGCTAAAATGTCGCCGGTGTTCACCAGAATAGCACCTGGAAGATGACCGACCCTACCCCATCGTTCTCCGTAAGGAGTTTGTATTTCCAAACCTCCCTCGCAATCCTAGACACAATTCAGTTTACTTCAGATAATTAGAACAATTGAAAAAGTGGATGGGAGGACAGGATGCGGTTTGGAAATAAAGCTCTATTGGAGACGGATGATTTGAAATAAAATTGATCGTTCGCTATCCGAGATACCTGTGCTAGCAATGTGAAGGTGCCATAGTCACAATGAGCGCCGTAACGAGCCAATCCTGGCACTGGTGGACCGAGAGGTGGATAGTAAAGAAGGCGAAGGGTCGTCTCGTTATCAGGTCCCAGCATGTGCGAATGCTTCGACAGCAGGAAATCGGGTGATTGCTCTAGCCCCACGGCCAGAGCCTATAAGGCATACATCACATACATTGGCCCGTGTTTTTACTTTAGAGTACCTACTGACGGCTGTAAAGCAACCGAAGAAACCAATCGCGTTAGTTGTTTGCCGGACAGATTGGTTTGTAGGGTTACTTACAGTCAGAGCTGCTCGCTTTATCGATCGCTTACGCAATAACCAAAAACGTTCAGAATAATACGGTGGAGAACTCGAACGAGGGAAAGATTGACCAGATCAACGAAGAGGAGAATTTTACTACCAAATCTGTTCGGCTAGAGAAATCGTTCTGCGGAACTTAAGTCTACGGATAATCCTTTGATAAATATCGTTTAATCGAAGCGTTGTTTCGAAAGACGATTCCGAACTCTTAAAACTGCTACGAAGAAATTTAAAGAGCTCGACGCAAAAGCCGGTCGACTTTAAATATTTACGTGCCCTCCAAATAGCCAGATTAGACGAAGCACTCCTTTACAGACTTTCCGTGAAAAACGCGAGTGTAATAATACACGGATCCGGCCCAACGTTGTTCTCATAAAACGTGTTGCGAACATTTCGCGTTTTAAACGAATTAATCGATGTGTATATATACAGGCTGAGGCAAGAAAATTGCACGGTAATCCAGTGGCGGTAACGGTTTTTTTTGCAGGTGGAGGTACTTCGAAAAATGGAGTTTTCTAGACTCCTGACTCCTTGGTCCAGTACTAGTGCCGTTGTCCCTGCTAATCTAAATCTAAAAATCTTAGTACTAGTTCGCAGTCATTAGCTGAGTTGTAGTTCCATATTTTGATTAATACTTCTCTATTTTCACCTTATTTTATTATGTTCAATCTAATCGATTTGTCCCAATTTTTAATCTCCCTTATCTAGGTATTTCATCGATGGAGTTGTAATTCTATATTTCATTATATTACTTATGTATGTGTATATGTAAGAAGTCAGGAGTCTAGAAAATTCCATTTTTCGAAGTACCTCCACCTGCAAAAAAAAAAAACAACTATTATCGCCACCGGATGGGCCCCTTCGTGCTACGCAATTTTATTTCAGCAAACTTTTGTGCGAAACTTATGGTTTCGAAGATATCTGAAGTGCTAATAGTTATTGCCCTTTCTATGTTGATTTAATAGTAAATGACGCATAGATCTGACTTTTGTATCGTGCCAGATCTCTGCGACGTTACTCAGTGAAATTTGTTGCTTCAACGTATTAGAATGACAAAAAGAAGGCGTTACTGTTAGGAGCATGGCGGAGAGTTGCTTGAAATCCCGTGCCAGTTCGTCGACCGCCGACTTGAAATTAGGCACCTCGTGGTCCGGAAGATTTCCACCGCTTCCGGTTACGTTGAAAAGATGGCGTGCTTCTTTCTCGTCGGTGTGCCTGTTAACAAAATTGGAAAAAAAAAAATTGATAACAAAAGCCGCTCGAAGAACTTAATCCAGAATCATCTAATCGGGGATCTAAGATCGAACGATGGAGAATCAGTCTAATCAGGAATGTTGTAAAAGGCAAGGCAAGATATCGACATTGAAAAGGAATACTGTTATTTTCTTTTTTTTTTTTTTAAATATTCATTTCAGGATTTCGACGTTCTTCAATGGAAGTTTTTAAGAGTGTCGTTTCTTTGAGAATTAAACCGATAAACGTGCGAGTATAATTACGTGGAAGGTCCTGGTTTGAGGTAGCCATGGCTGCCAGGCAAGGTGCGTTCGTATTTGGCTCGAGTTTCCTCTGGAAGTTCGCAAAACGCATCCAGAGCTCTGTAGGCAGCCTTCATCTGCGAACACAGAAAATAATTGCGTATATACATACACGTCCGGATACCGCGTATAATTACGTAATTCGCGTAGCCTTTCACGAAAAAAAAAAAAAAAAAAAATTCGAAGTCTACTCGAGGGACACCTTGGAGCATCGGAGACGATCGGTAATCTAATACAGAGCACTAGAATGCGTTATTAATTGAACGAGTCATTACGTAATTAACGTCTACGCTCAGAAATACGGCACCTTAGCAGGTGACATCCTCGAGTTACAGATAAGTGGTGACTGTATTTCTCGTCTTGACGTCACCACTTCTCTTATCGATTCCGCGAATTTCGAAATTCTATCCGCAGCTGATAGACGTTAAATTTTATTGAGAAATTTAATTCTTACACGTAGTAAATACTTTCTATTTGGTTACTCGTAAACCTATCCAAATAGTTGACCGAACAGTTACGTATCTAGTTTAATAAAAGTTGCGTATCTTTCATTCATCATTCGAGATTTCTATCCGGCCGAGAATTTTGTCTACGAGCAGTTGTTGGATCAATTGATTCTAAGCACGGACGCGTCTTTGCGCGTACGCTTGATCCCCCCCTGTCGAGGACGTCTTAATTCGATTCGAGTCGAGATAATTAAAAGCGACGGTTTGTTTCAGCCAATTGACGCATACAGCCGTATACACTGTTGATAACGAACACATCGTGACGTCAGCGCGTACAGAACGCTGAAAACTAGCGTACAGAGGCCAGTGGCGTATCTGATATCCTTCGAAGCCCTTTAGCACGAAGAGAACGTCGAATCGTCTTAATAACGAACGTGCGGGGTTCATTAAAAATTACTACTGCGGTACGACGGGGAAAATACTTGACCGGAGGTAACAGACGTCGCAGCTTATGAAATAATGAATCGGCTACACGTCGGGTATTATCGGTGCTGTAATGTCGTGTGCCAGCCATTTCTATTACGCAATAAGCGATAAGGAATTACAAACGTATCGACGATAATTCGTCGTCATTATGTGTGGAATTACCCAGCCGACTCCACGTGTAAAGGACGCGTTTCGAAGAACACGTGAAACATTTAACGTGTGCGCAAGGTAAATGCGCGGGAGCCGTTTGTTTAATTCGGACATTTTTTCGATAGAGGGTACACGAATACTTACAGTATTGATTGAAGAATTGCATAGAAGCGCAGGATTAATTCCTTACGCCAAATATTAGTTTGTCTGGAAAGTTCGTGGCGATTTTTGGTAAGTGGTACACGTCTGTTTATATTGGAATGGTTGGAAACCGTGGTGCGTCCCTTAAAAGGTGGAAAGGTCGTGGAACAAAATGGTATTTATATAATTCAATGAATATACAGGGTGTCCCAAAAGTCGGGGAGGAGCCGGAACTGGGGGGTAGCTGAGACGATTCTGAACAACAATTTCCTTTGCGAAAATGTCGGATGGGGCTTCGTTAAGGAGATATTAAGCGAAAACCCCGACCAATCAGAGCGCGCGTAGACCGTTGGAGCGGCCGCGGTAGCGTAGGCTACGCGCTGATGGCTGCGCTTGTACGCGAACAAGTGACTCGACGTGCATCGAAGGACATTGACGCTGCCGCCTAGCACGTAGCCTTCGCTACCGCGGCCGCTCCAACGGTCTACGCGCGCTCTGATTGGTCGGGGTTTTCGCTTAATATCTCCTCAACGAAGCCCCATCCGACATTTTTGCAAAGGAAATTGTTGTTCAGAATCGTCTCAGCTACCCCCCATTTCCGGCTCCTCCCCGACTTTTGGGACACCCTGTATATCAAAATTCAAATGTGCCTTTCAATTTTTTTTTTTTTGTTTAAATTGGCACGAACTTTCTGGACAAACCCAATACGTTGCTCCAAACGTTTCTCGTAACAATTCTGAAATTTACAGAAAACTTTCCGACCGTTCCAGCCGTTGTGGAATGTCGTCAAACGAACACGGACGAGGAGAGTTCATTAAATTACCGCCCATGGCGCGAAGATACACGATAAACGCACGTTTCTGTTTACAATGGAATGCGTGGGTCGTGTCGTAACCCTAGTACGAATTATCTGGCGAAAATGTAACGAGCGGTTCGCGATAACGTTTTCTTCGTCGACGAGGATGGGCTCCGGTGCGCTGGTAAGGTCATCGCAATGTAAACATACTCAATCGCCGAACCCTTGAAAACTCGTCGCTCTTGGAACGTAGCTAGGGATCCTCGTTATCAG